AATGTAATTTGTTTTGATTTTTTTAATCTCTTTGATATTTTATTGATTCTTAATTTTATAAGTGTTTATTTTAAATAAAAAAATTATATAAAAAAATTGTTTAATATTATTGAGTTTATAACCTAAGTCATAAGTTTAGCTTATTAATTTTGGTTGGACAGGAATTGGGCTTGATAGATATTTTTGTGTGCATTTTTTATTTGAGAATTTTTCATGTATAAAAACACATAAAAATCTGCAAATACATTTGTTTTAAGAATATTTCGTGCAGGTCAAATAGCTACAAAAACATATTACTTCATCTCTCGTTTACTTTTACTTCTTTCCCACCCTTCTTCACTTAGTCAAATACTGAACATTGACTTGTGCTCTCCTATATATCAATATTAATATTTTTTAAAATGTAAAAATAATATTAATAGTACAAAGAATTTGTAATAGTATTATTAAGGCTAATCAACCAAGTTAATTTTAAACCTCATAACTCAACTATTTAGTTTTTAATTAAATTAAATGAGAGTTAACTCAATTTAAATCAATCAATTTTATAGGTCTAAATTCAACCTTGATGATCGATCAAAACATAATTTAACTTTGAAAAAAACTTCAAGATAATATATTTTTTGTAAAATAATATAAAGATGATGACAAATTGGATCAACCTTGCCCCTTGGGCTCGATAAACTTGGTCGTGAACTTTATTGAATTTAATAACTTTTTTATAATTTTTAGTTAATCATATGATAAAAATAGATGCTTATAGAATTGGGTATCAACTTAAAATTAGACATTTATTTGAGACAATTATCCCTAAAAAAAAAATAAAAATCAATAATGTTGTCTATTTATCCTCTAATCTAATATTAAATGATGAAATTAAAAAGAAATAAATTAAAAAAATAAAAGAAAAAAGAAAAATAACATATCATATTGATGGGAAAACTTGTCAAGGCTTGTACATCAAGTAAGTCAAGCTAGTATGTCAAATATATAAACTGATTTATGAACTCTACTTGGATTATAATTATTTTAATCTATTTTTTATTTAACTACATAATAATAAAAATAGATAATTGTGAAATCAAACACCAACTCAATACCTAGATTTTTTTTAGATTATAATAACCTCATAAAAGACAAAACAAAACCAATTATAAAACTAAATTCTGAATTAATCTAGTATCTAAGGATGAAAAGAAAACTTATGTAAAAAATTTAAATTTGCTAGACCCACGAATCAAGTCAACCAGCCAAACTTGTGAATAAATCCATAAACTTTATAAAGTTTAATAACATAACTTTTTTTTGAAACTATTTTTTTAATTATATGAGAAAAAATAGATGTTAAAAAAGTCAAGTTCAATTAAAAAAAGACATTTCACTAAACTTGTAAACTAAAGCAACTCGAGTTACCTTAACAAACTTGAAAAATCACGTTAACCTTATAGAAAGGTAAAATAAAAGGAAACAAATTACAAAGCTAAATTCTTAACAATCTCTATTTTAAAATATGAAACTCACAAAAATAGATTTGAAAAAAAATCAAAACAAAAAGAAAAAACAAAAAAAAAAGAAAAAATCAAACACTACGGATTATTATTGTAATCCACATCGCAATGGGTGAACAATAATTTCCTCAATATCCTTTAATTTTTATTACTTTATAAAGTTTGATAACATGATTTTTCTTTAAAATTATTTTTTTAATAATATAAGAAAAAAATAGACTATAAAACAAAATCAAGTTTCATTAATAACCCATCAAATTTATAAATTGAGACAACCTGAGTTACCTCGACAAACTCGCAAACTACACTAACCTCATACAAAAGCAAAAAAAAATGAAAAACATTGCAAAGCTAAATTCTCGATTTTCTCAATATTAAAAAATAAAATCAACAAAAAAAAATAAAAAAATCATAAAAAAACAAAAACAAACCATATATATAAAAAACACTATAATAGTTCACAATAATTTGTAAGGAATCTACGATCCTTTTCCTTAGCAAACCTATTAACCACATTAAGGCAACTTAGAAAACTAAATTCTTAACAATGTCAATTTTAAAAGATGAAATTAACAAAAATAGATTTTAAAAAAATCATAACAATTTTTTTTTTTAAAAAAAGCAAAACACTATGGATTACTATTATAATCCACAGTGCAACTGGGAGAACAATGGTTTCCGGTTTGACTCGATTTTTTCTGTTTGGTTTCAGATTTTTTAGGTTTGGCTTGTTTTTTCAGTCTAGATTCGGTTCGATTATTTCGTTTTCAGGCTTATAAAATCAAAACTAAATCGAAATAATTCGTGTTTTAAAAACTCTCATCGATTTAATTGGTTTTTTTTCAAATTTCAATTTTTTCTGTTTTTTTTTTCTAGTTTCATATGTTTAATCAGTCTTTCGGTTTTTTTTTGTTCAACCTTAATATATATAATGTTTTTTTTGTTTGTTTCTCAATTTTTAACCTTTTTATTTTTAAAATCTAAAACTAAACAAAATTAATTTTTTATTAGTTTTCTTTGTTTGAATTCTCATATCAATCCTTTCAATTCATTTTAGATTGATTTTTATGAATATTATAAATAATTTGATTATATTTCTCACCCTTCCATTGAATTGATAATGTAATAACGACAACAAAATAGATATTGGCTATGTTGTTTATGAAAAGATTATTTAGAATTTGTTTATAGCTATTTTACTCAAATTTTATATGAGGTTAAAACCGAGGTAAATTTTTTTGACAATATGAAATGTCCGAAATTCACTCCAAATACTTAATTTCTAAGATTGGTATTTTAAAGATGAAAAGACAGAATTGAATAATGTTAAAGAGCACAAATTAAAATCATTTTTTTAATTATTCATTTTCAATCCTATATTCAATAAGATTAGATATTGCGTGTATTTCACTTTTAGTGCTTCCCTTTTTTAAATTAAACTTCTTGTAATTTTTTTATTTAAAATTTCTGAGTTTAGTGCAAGTGTTATTAAATTATTATTTTAAATTAAAATATAAAATTTTTTTAAAAATTGATTTCTCAATATATTTAATATTATTATTTTAAATTAAAATATAAAAAAATTTTAAAAATTGATTTCTCAATATATTTATCTATAAATATTATTGTTATTATTATTAAACTCGGTTAACCAAATAAATTAATAAGATAACTTATTGTTCTAATTCGTCAGGTTTTAAAATAAGCAAATGGATTGATTAAAATTTTATTCGATTAAAATATTAATATAATATTATTTTACTTATAAAAATTAAATAATATAATTTTAAATTGATAAAATCAGCTTGAATCAATTCGCTAAAACTGATGACCCAAAACTGAGAACTTAGATCTTGGGCTTCGATAACTTTGATATATACACCTGAGTTAAATAAAAAGGTTTAATTCAGTAGGGCTTAGGATAAAAACTGATATCTAACTCAGTCAAGCATAAGAATTGTTTAAAAAAAAAATATAAAATCCAACTCTTTATTATCAATTTGTTTTTACTGTTTAGTCCATTGAGAATTGTTTAAAAAAAATATATTCTAAAATCCAACTCATTAATATCAATTTGTTTTTACTGTTTAGTCCATGAGAGTTGTCGGTCGCTTCAGTTCACTTCACTTGATAAGTCAGTCCCAATTTCCAAAACCAACTTGATCTCTACTTGCCACCCCCAACAATAATCTACACCATCCATCTAATTTCTCCCGAACAAGAAACCTAAATCTGACGGTCTAGCAAGCACTACCTATGGGACCCACTCTCACCAATCTTTATCACTCTCACCAAAACCTGCCATGTGGCATGACATCATAAGTGACACCCATACACCCTTCCTATCAGCAACCCATGAATTGCCACGTCTCCTAATCTAATCTGAGAATTACAGGATTACCCTTTCTCTCTTGTCACCCATCTCATGTGATCAGTTATTTTATCCCTCCTCCTTTGATTTTCTCTCACTTTCTGTGGATCCAAACAACCCCTTATAGGTTCTCTATATTTTCAGCTCTCTCTCTCTCTCTCTCTGTGTGTTCTCTTCAGTTATAGAGGGAAAAGTGAAGACCCTTTCAATCTCTCAGTGAAAAAGGTTTGTTTCTTATACCTTTAAAGTTTTGATTTTTATTCAATTTTTATTTGTGGGCTTATTGATTTTAGTATGATTTTATTGAATTGATGTTTTTTAATGAATTTTGGGTCTTTTAGCTTGATGGGTTTTTGGATCTAATGCATGTTTAATTGTTTGGTGATGTGGGTTTGTTTTGTTTGTCTAAGATTTGATTTGAATTATGATTATTGGTAAGAGTTGCTGCCTGGGATCCAATAAAGGATTGAACTTTGAATTATGATGTTATTTTCTGTCTCAAAAGTTGAAGACTGGGAATTGGTTGGAATTTTTAGATTAATGGTTAAGTGGATGCATAAGTGTTGAAATCTCTTGGGATCTGAATTCTGAACTAAGAGATTGTGATGTTCAATCATGGAATCAGTTGAAGAAAGAGTGATTTCTAATTGACTTGATATAAGATAGTATAATAATGAATGAATTAAGGATGGCTATGATAATTGATAAGGGAGTGAGGATTAGGTTTAGTTTCTGTATGTTTTGGACTTTTGATTATTAGTAACAGGATCCAGTTAATATTTTTATCAATTTGGCATGAGTTTCTGCTGCAACGATGCACAGAACACAACATTATCAATGTGAGGATCTTTTTGGTTGGTGAGGGTTATATAATTAACAATTAAATTGTTGTGAATTATTGAAATAGTTAAGAGGGTAGATGCTTTAAAACTTATTTTTGTGGCTGAAACAAGGATTTAAATGAGGTTAGATTATGTTTGGTTGTTCTGTGCAATATGACCTATATTATTGCTTGTTTAAGTTTTTCGGATGGTTTCTAGTGTTGCTTCATTTATTGACTTGTTGAGTGTTTTTACTGCAGGAGAGAAGGCCATGTGAGCCGTTTGAAGTCCTGGAGTGAGATTGTTGCTTTTGCAATTTTGATCAGCTTTGTGGTTTTATTGGTGTGCACAAAATGGGCAAATGCGAGGGTTGTGGAAAATTGGGAAGAATGGTGTCAATGGATGATTCTGTGGATGCCTATCATTTCTCTCTTCTATTGTCTCCTGTTGTTTCTGTTTGGGATTGTATTGTCCGAAAGATGAGGTATTCCTTCAGACCTGAGTGGGTGTAGTTCTCGAACTTCTGAGATTTCATTAGTTTTTTATACTGAAATTAGGTGGTGCTGTTTAGTAGTAAACAAAGGGTGAAAAAGGAACAGATAAAGAACGAAAGAAAGTTATAGGGAAATGTACACATTTTAGAGTTCTCTTTGAGCTTCATAAATTGAAAACAGGACAATATTTAGAGTTCAGTAGTTATGGATAGCATAGCATGTAATAAAGTGCAACCTGTTGTGAGGAAAGTGAAGAAGAAGCAGGTCAAAGGTGAGATGGATCGTCTCAGGCAGGCTGAGAAGAAAAAGAGGCGTCTGGAGAAAGCTCTAGCTACATCTGCCGCAATCCGATCTGAGCTAGAGAAGAAGAAACAAAAAAAGAAGGAAGAACAGCAGAGACTTGATGAAGAGGGTGCAGCAATTGCAGAGGCTGTCGCTCTGCATGTCTTACTTGGCGAGGACTCTGATGATTCATGTAAAATTGTGCTAAACAAAGAGGAAGTTTTCGACACTTGGAGTTGTGCTGGCAACATTGACCTTTTCGTGGGTGAAAAGAGGCCATCTCTCCCTCACGAGGACTTCCCAGGGAATTCATTTGAAAGAATAGGCTGGGTCCCTTGTACTTATGGAACTGGATGCCAATGGAGGAGGAGGGAAAATAATGACTTGACATTTTCATACGATTCTCTTCGAAGGAGTATGCCAGTGCAATACCTTGACGATGGCAGTTGGGGTACTGCAGAGTTCTCAGCTGGACTTATTGCAGCACAAGCTGTTTCTTCTCTCCAGATTGCAGAGGATGCGCATGGGGATACATTTCTCTTTGACGGAATGCTAAGAGGGTAGAGAAGCAATTCTCCGCTGCCTTTCGAAAATGAGTCGCTGTTATTGTTCCAGAATAATGGTTTTGTATATATTCGTGAATTTCTTACTGTCATTTATCAGATTTGCGTGTTGCTGCTTCTGGTTTGAACAAATGTTCAACTTGTTATCTCTTTGTGTTTCATCATGTCATTTGCTCAAGAAGCATGTTTAATTTTTTGCTACTGGAAAACATAATTTTACTGGTACTTCGCTTTCCTTGTGGAACGATTTCTTTGATTAATTCTAGTAGACTAACTTCATCGTTCACCGTTAAAGCAATATCGTCCATTTCATTGAGATTTTTTCTGTTCTTTTTGGTTCAACGTTTGAATCATGTTAACATTTGATTCGCAATCCTCTCTTAAAAAAATATCAAAATTGTGACGCACACTGATCTATCATGAGTTAGATGTATGGCATTGTAGCCTCAAATTACTCACGGGGTGTGCGTGGTGTGTACTGCAATTTCTCTTGATATTGATGAGTAGTTCTCTTGTTAATGTATAGATGAAGGTGAACTTGTGGTTCTGCTGATAAGAACCCAAAGTTGAATTGTAGGTAACAGTCACTCTGAAAGGCTAGTGCTAGGAACAAAAACGGAATACCGATATCTTCATCTGGGCCACGCTCCAATGGGGCTTACCAGCATTTACGTGAGCTATGGAAGACCGGGATGGCACCTGAAGCATTCATTGCTTCAAGTATTGAAGCAGGAGACCGGTGGTGCTGTTTCTGTGATCCCACGGAGTGTTTACTAGAAGCCCCTTCTGTTTCTTCACCATTTCTTCTTTTTATTGGTTTAATAGCACTGTTGATCTTTGTTAGGAACGTACGTTTGTGGCACTCAACAAGCTTCCATGGCAACCAATGAATTCCTTCCATCTTGTCCTCCTGTCCACCACTACAAGATAGTAGTATATGATGTCGGCACTTCACTTTTCTCTTGGGTTTGAATTCGACGAGAGGTTGCCGAAAACAAGTTCTCTCAATCCGAATAAAATGCGGCTTTTTAAGAGTGTTTTTTAATGTATTTTTTTTATTTAAAAATATATTAAAATAATTTTTTTATTTTTTTAAAAAATATTTATAATATCAATACTTTAAAATAATTTAAAAATATCAAAAAAAATATTAATTTAAAATAAATAATAAAATATTTAAATTTTCTTAAAAGCATTTTTAAAATACAAAAATAAATATAGTCATAACCTAGGTGTTCCTGTAGAAGAAAATTTGTTTATACAAGTAAAAAAAATGATTGGAGAATTTATCTAATAGTTAAATAAAATAAAAAAACCTATTCAATTGTGATCGATAATCTTGTAGGTAAGATTTTTGTTTTTACATTTCAAAAATATTTTTGAAAAATAATTTGATTTTTTTATTTTTAAATTACTGAAAAATAAATTTTTAAAAAATAAATAATAACATTATTTTAATATATTCTCAAATTAAAAAAAATATTTTAACAAACAACAATTACCAAATACCGAACAATCTCTATTAAAGCTGTGATTAAACTACAGTACTCCAACTCAACTTGCCATGGCCTCGTACCATCCATCTTTTAATCACTAATTTCACAATCCATATAGTTAGAAAACACGTTGGAAGGCAACATGATTCCTCTGAGGATCTTGATAGAAGATAAAAAGGTCCTCTAGGTTTTTTTATATTAAAAAAATGGTATGAAATCAAAATAGGTTGAAAAGAAGGGAGATACTGAAACTAGTTCAACTACATCTTAGACCCGATCCAAAGATATACTTGAAAAAAAAACCTTGATTATTTAATTAATGTAGATCAATTATTTTTATTAAAATTAATGATATTAACTTTATCGAACTCAGACTAGGTTTAATTATATAAATCAAATTACAAGTCAATTTCAATCCTTTTATTTGTAGAATTTTTGTCGGATAAGTCACAGATTTCTTTGATGAATCCACCGAAAATAGATGGAGTTTAACAATTATAGTTCAAGGAACAACAATTACTAGCCTCCCTCACATCATGCCACGTAAAGAAAGAATTTTAGCACGACCCTACAGTACAAGTAACAATTAAAAGAAAAAACGCAACATGCTCTACGTTTATTGAAAATGATGTAGTAACTTAGAATGGCCAGAGTGGTGATCGTGGTCTCGAATTAAAGCTCTTGTGGATGCAGCAAATTTTAGTGGAAGAAGTCCCAGTCTTGACGCCCAACAGAACCCCGGCAAGGGTTGAGGTCGAGAGTTGAGATCACTCCGATCATGTATTTTTTATACCAGAAAAGCATGTCCAGATCCCATGAGGATTAATGGTGACATATGGATGCGGATAAGAGAAAAACACTTCACATTGATAATCTTTTCAACGTGCTTTGGTGCTTTTAGGCACCATCAGAAACGCAATTCAGTTGGAAAGCAATGAACAATTTTACATCGATACACAATGAATGAATCTTTGATCAGCTAGATGTATGCCTAAAATTCCGATGCAGTGGTGGGAGCTCTGGTTCTTGTTGTGAGTTCTGCCAAGATAGTTGATCTGATCCTTGCTTACTGAGTTGCCGCTGAAGCAGTACATCTTCATCCTGATCAGCAACTTCTGTGCTACTAGGTTTGGCACCATTCGTGATGAGGTTTTTAAACCAGGACGCTTGGAATCTAGGGACTCCTGTGTTTGAGTTTGCTGGGGACTCGGGAGCAGATCCATTGCTGGAAGTCACACCCACAAGGAATCTATATGCAACTTTGCTGGCGGATACAATCTCAGTCTTGGCTTGTCTAAACTGAAATTACCAACCACACATTTAGGGATTAGGGGAAAGCTAATCACGATAGGCAAGCTCTGAAGCCTCTATCAGTTCATATGAAAATCAAACTAATTCCTTTTCTTTTTGGTGATCAAACATCCACGTTCCAATCTGATTAATCACCACTTTCAGTTCAAAATATCAGATTAATCACCACTTTCAGGCCATTTTGAATCGGTGACCACAGAACATGAAGCCACCAGTAAAAAATGGGATGAACCAAAGAAAATATAATGGATGCACTGTGGGTGATTTCATTGGTGCAGATTTAATTCACAATCTTCTGTACTATTGTTTGAAGCAGAAGATTATACTGCATGTTTGATAAGCGCTAAGAACTACGTTCACATCCTCAATGATTTCATACACAGAAAAATCCTAAAAAATAACTTTAGAAAAAAAATAAACAGGGAAAAGCACTAAAATATGGGAAAGTGAAGCACAACACAGATTGCACTTCACATGCAAACAAACAAGCATTAATGAATTTCCACCTGTTATGAATTTTGTGTGGAGGGTACAAGAATATGGACTTCGGGTCTCTATAGCTCCAGTGAGTGCACGTGGAGAGTACTAATTACTTGAAGTTGACAGTGGTAATCAACTCAAGTGTGGGATACAATCCTGGGAAAGAAAAAAAAAGAAATACAGTAGAACATCTCACCCGGAAAGCTGTATTTCCTGCTATTTCCATGGCAGCATCACCAGCATTGGCAAATCGATTGACCCAACCTGTCAGACAAATCACAGGAACATCCACTTCAGGAATATTGCAAAAGTAAAAAGTGCTGGCACAACAAGTTTGTTTCTTAAGTTGAAAAAGGTGAAAAACGGTTACAAACCCAAAGAAACAAGGGCTAATCTTATAATTCATAGGCAAAATTTACTTTATTATTGGCAAAGGAGCCGTAGTTTACAACTAAAAATGCAGGACCAGTGGCCAAGTGGGATGGAGCAGCACTATGAAGAAACGGAGCCCAGCCCACCCTAAGGCAGAGTAGAGCACAAAATGCAGAATGACTCTTTTTTGTGATCTTCCATAATTACATACTTCCTCAGACTCTAAGGTTAATAAGGCAGGTGCTTAGCCAAGAAACTTTAAAGGATTTTTGGATAAGGAAGCCTTTCCACACTGATTTCATGGAGGATGGGAGGGAGAATGGGCGAGGGAAAAATCTTGCCAGGTTTAAGGACATTGTCAAACTCAAGAGGACATCTGAAAGCATGAAAAATACACATAAAAGATCTCCACATACTCTATTTCTTGATCATGAATCTGAGTCTACTGGACAATTACATTCAGAAAGAAAACAGTGTTCCAGTATACAAGCAGAGCACACCAATCACACTCAATAGCCAGCCACATTATCAAGATTCAAGTTTTAGATATTCTTCTCAGAAAAAAGACTCTTACCTGGAAGTTTTGGCACACCAAGCCTTTCACAAAATTCATCACAGAAGTGATTACAGTTCTTGGCCAACAAGTCATAGTCACTTCCAGGCCATTCTCTACTAAGTTCCCGCAAGATCTGATTCACCTTAAAGATTGAAAAGCTGGTTTTTCCTAGTACAATTCTCTCACGGTATGTATACATTGGATTCTTTCCGGAAGGGCAGCTAAAAACTCCAGTTCCATGTTCACAAAACCCAAAAGACCATTCATCTTCTCCATATACCTGACATGCATAAGAGAAACAGACCTATTACCCTCAAGTCATATATTCACTTCATCTGAAGAGCATAATGGAAACAGCCTGAAAATAAAAAATACCAACAAGAAAGTAAAAGGTGTAACATAGTATTAAAATATAAGAGCTCAGTATCTAGTTTAAGACATGAGTTCATTTGTCTATATCTAGTCACCTTACTGCATAATTCAGTTTGGAAACTATAGATAACAGAGCTTCGTCACACTGCAGCACAAGACATCAGCGGACTCAGTCTGTGCACAAGCTTGTGGTTTTCCATAAACAACTCCACTGATACTAGGAAACTTTAACTAAAACTTAATCAACGAGACAAATCCGTTTACAATGCTGAGTCAGAAAACTGAACTACATCGAAAGGAAGCAGCAAAAAAACATAAAATCATGATTATGAAAAAATGCCCCCTCCACATATTGCATGTCAAAACAAATCCCCTCCCCCCATCCCAGCTTGACTTTAATCTCTTCAACAGTCAAATAATTATTGTTCAAGGCAAACCCAATTTACAGCACAGCTGAAACTTCCAGATCTTGAATGACAAGACTTCTAGTTCTATCAACACAGAGACCTCAAAACACCAATAATCCACCATATAAATGGCAGGGACCCGAAAACAGTAACTAGCTCTCTCAATTAAAAATAAAAATTCCAACAAAGTTCAAAACTTTTTGCTTATTTTGCCACACAATAATTCAACCCATAAATCAATGACTTCTTTAAGTACTGGAACCAGAACCAAAACCAAAACCCTAGATCTCACTTTCCACTGGCAAAGCATTAAATCAAACCATTACAGTCAATACTTAATTAATCCTGGATTTCTCTAATCTTATACTAACTCCACCGTAACAACTGCAATTAAACAAACAATAGAGAGAGAGGGAGAGACCTGAATGGCGCTGTGGAAGATGCCACCGAGACCAATAGTGTCTTTGAAGATCTTGTTGATGTTCAAAATAGTGTTGTTCGTCTTCTCCGATCCACTATTTGTCACGTCATATACATGCAATATCACCTCCGTCATCCTCTCCCTCTTTTTAACCAGTCCAGTCCAAAAACTCTAACCCTGCTTTCACCAAAATCACACGCAGAAAAGCTCTCTGTCACTCTCTCTCGATCTTACTCTCCGCCTCGTTCAACTTCTTCTATTCAATTTTGTCCCTCCCTCCCTCTTTCTCGCTGTGAGGAATTCGGAATTTTTAGATTTTCGCCTCGAAATGCTAAAAAATTGCTTTTTTTCTTTTTATTTGAAGAGAGATGAAGGAAGAAGAGTTTGATTATGGGAATCTAAGAAATTGTGCCTCACCATCATGATTTTCTTCTTTTATTTTATTTTCTTTTGGGTTTTCAACTTTATTCCCTAACTAAAACTCTGCTTCAATTTAGTCCTTTTAAGTTTTAACATTATTTTATTTTGTCTACATAAATAGAGGTCAAAGGTCTAACCGGGGACTGATTTGATAAGAAGCTAAATAAGTGGGGACTGATATACAGTTAATCCAAACTTTTTTTTTTTTTCCGGAGGGAAAGGAATTGGATATGTTAAATCGGTCCCAAATATTTGGCAGAATTGTAATTAAACCCTAAAAGAAGGGCTTCTTTTTATATTTAACAACTGTCTGCCACTACTGGAGAATTCAGTAATGATTAGGAAGAGTGGGGATTGGGATAAAGTAGGGCCCCACTATGATGGCAATGGCAATTATCATATCCTCAAAGGCTAGTCTTTATCTTAATTACGATAATGCCCTCTCTTTTAGCTTGGATTTTAACTGGTCTTCATCTCTTTTTTTTTTTTAATTAAGAAAGTGTAAAATAATAAAAAAGTGTATTTTTGTTTTTATTATTGTGAATTGAAAAGGATATTGAATGAAGTTCATAATGATATGTTAATTAATGAATATAATTAGAAAGACAATAAACATTTTTAACAATCAAATTAATTAAAGAATGGAAAAGAATATGAAATTGGTAGTTTTTTAGGGTAAAATTTGTTATTCACAATTTTTTTTTAATGAATATTCAACTATACAGTGAAAAAAATAACTCGTTATAAAGGCAGCAGCATCTAACAAATATAAGAATATATAGTTAAATGGGTCTGCTAATATAATATACTCCTATTTGTTTGGTTTTGGAAAAGAAAACAAACAAGCATGGGTATATTATATACCCATTTAAATAAATATCTTTTATTTTAAGAATAGATATCCTTAAGTCAATATTTAAATCTTAGGATTCACAGTCATCTTATTAGCCACTATTTTATGATGTTGATATGACAAGTTAATTAATTTATTAACCAATTCTAAACCTAATTCAAGATAGATGATTTTTGATTGGTTATATCTAATTAAATCCAATAAGTCAATCCAAGTCTAATCATAATCTTATTTGATTTAAAAAAAATTGAAAGGTATTATTTTATTTTTAAAAAAAAATCTTAAAATAATAATATTTTAAACTAATTAAAACTCAAATCAGATTTGATAACTTTGCTAAGAACTAAAAACAAAATAGAGACCAACTTTCTTAATTATCAATCCAACCTTTTTAGTTGTTTAATTTTGATACGAGGGGAATTAGACAAGATGTTCTTAATCAAACAAGAGGGTTTGTTAATATACTCATATTTGTTTGTTTTCTGGAAAAGAAAACAAACAAGCATGGGTATATTAATATACTCGTTTAAATAGATATTTTTTATTTTAAAAATAGATATTCTTAAGTCATTATTGAAATTGTAGTATCCATAATCATCATATTTCTTATATTTTTTAGTAATTCATATGAAATTTAGATCTTATTACCCATTATTTTATAATATTAATTTCACAAGTTAATTTTTTTATTTATCAATTTTAAATTGAGTCCAAACTATATTTTAAATTAAATCAAGTAATATCTGACTTGGTAATACTTGTTTGACCTATTAGATCAATCATGCTAATTGATTTTTATTTAAATTTTATTATATTTATTTTTAAAAAATTAAAATATATTATTTTAATTATTTTATGAGTTTCAAACAACATCATTTTAAACTATTTAACTTTTAATTCCAGGCTTGATGTGAGTTTAATAACTTTGCTAATAATTAAAAAGAAAAGAGACCGACTTTCTTAATTATCAATCCAACCTTTTGAATTTTAGACAAAGTATTGTTAATCAGACAAGAGGGTTTGTCTAAATTATACAGTCAGAGTTATATTATGTGATTGTGATGGAAAGGGAAAACACCTCTCATTGCCATGTTTGGACTTCGGAGTGAAATGAAGTGAGATGCAAGGGGGAAGATCCATCCAATCAAAATATTTGATGGTCAAAATGATCATTAGATATCATGTGCTGTAATAATCTTACTCTCAAAAAAGTATTGCCATGGCTACTTTTTCAAGTTTTGGCACAAGGAAGATGACACCTTACCTTATCGCTGGCTGTGAAGAATTATGACTCTCCTGGGCTATGTTTCATTTTTTAAAAGTGATTTTTAAAAAGTGATTTTTTTTATTTTTTATTTAATTTATTTGTTATTAAAAAAATTGATTAATAAACAATATTTTATAATCAAAAAAATTTGATAACATTTTTAGTAAAAGTATTTTTCTAAAAAAATTGAATTATTTTTTAGAAGTTCTGAAAAATTTAGAAATATTATATTATTTATTGATTATATCAAATTCATTCCTTAAATTTTTTATTGCTTTATATATATATATAGTTTTAAATATTTATTTTTTAATTTCATCTTTTAAAATTTAATTTTTATATTAACTTTGATCCTCATGTTTGTAATTGTTATTTTTTTATTAAAAATTTTTATTTATCAAATTTGATTCTCATTCTTTTGATTGTTATTTATTTTATTTCAAATAATTTATAAAATATTAATTATTACTATTTTAATTTCTTCATCTTTTATTTTTTATTTTTTAGATTTGATCTCTACTGTTTTGATTATTATTTATTTTATTTGAGATAATTTATAAAATTATATTTTTTTTCAATTTCGTTTTAATTCAACTTTTTAACTTATAAGATTTATTTCTCATTATTTTAATAAACTTAAAAAAATAAAACATTAATAAGATATTTTTTAACTTATTTTTTATGATATAATCAAATATTATAAAGTATTTTTTAATTTATTTTTCATTACACTACCAAATATTAAAAAAAATTATTTTCTTAAAGTTTACTTTCTCAAAATATAATTTTTTTAAAAAAATTATTTTTTAATAAAAAAACTAATTCTTAGGGTTTGATTAATATCACGACAGAGAAAAGATGACTCCTTGCCTTGCCCATGGCCATGAGCTCACAGTGAGCCGAGTCCATGCGCTTGCTAGCAATCAACACAAAACACTACTTCCATTCTCGTTGATCCTCGCTGTATCCTGACAGCGTGAGCTAGGAAATGTCCAATACCATGATGTCAGGAATTTATCATGGTGACAGAGGCAAGTGATTGCCAGCTTTGTTTGCTTCATAATTGACTTATGGGCTAATTAATAATTAGTTTGAGGCTGAACCGTCCACAAGAACCCTCTAGATGGAAATATACATGTGGGGGGCCCAACAATCAATCTTTGATTTTTTCAGTTCTTTAATCATGAACTTGAGCGAATCAGCATCATGCAGCTGGACAACGCAACCAAATTTTACATTCCTAAATTGGAAAAGGATTATACAGTATCATTCCTTCAGGCCTGAACCAGCACAGCTGTGGTCATGTGCCGCTGCATCGGACCTGCAGTCCATGGGTAACCGTTTGGCAAAGCAGCAAAAACAAAACCATGTAATTACTATTTACTCTAAAACATATTAAAATAATCTAAAAAAATAAAAAAATATTAATTTAAAATAAAAAATAAATTAAAAAACACTTTAAAATAACAAAATCAAACATACCTATAAATAAAATGTTTTTGCTACTATTGAATCCTATGAGATTACAGTTTGAAATTGCATTTAAAAAAAAGAAATTTTATTTTATTTTTTTCTTCAAATTAATATTTTTTTTTAATTTCAAATTATTTTAATATATTAATATCAAAAATAATTTTTTTAAAATAAAAAAATACTATTTTAATATGTTTTAAAATAAAAAACATTTTAAAAAAAAACAAGATTACTCTCTTGACTAAAGCTACTTTATTTCTCATTCCCACTCAAAACATCCACAAGCTATCTTATGCCTTACAACGACATCCACATAACAGAGGTAGTGGTGAAGATAGAATCCAGAGTGGCTAAGCACACTGCACAGAACAAGGCTATAACAAAGCCCTTACACATAGTTCCAATATTCAGTTGACCTGTATATAGCATCAATTTAGCAGCATACGATTAAAATACAGCAGAAATATTAACCTCAAGGGACTAATATATAACCTAGATCCATTTAAATTCACTATGAAATCAAGAAAAAAAACAGCATAAAAGTATAAATAGAGAAAACTAAAGGTAAGCGGAGGGGTCTCTAATGTACCTATGGAATTATGTCTGGGAGAACTTTTGAGGCATGGTATAGTGCAGTGACTTTGAAATAATCCCCATAATGTAGATTGTTTATGTCAACGTAAGAATCAAAAGAACTATCTGCCATCATTGGTCATCAACTGTGAAAAAACTTGGCTGTTTCTAATCTCTGAAGGACCATCACCACTGTCGGTTTCAGTCTCTGTGTTGATTGATGGAGCTTGGGGAGCTATTCTAGGTGTTGTGAGCTCTGCTGCATTTGCATTGCTGTCGTCACGTGGTTCTCGTGATGATTTAGAATCAGATTCTTGAAGTTGAAGTGCATACTCCAAATTCCATAACACGTCGCCCATGCTTGGCCTATCGACACCATAGTCAGCCAAGCATTTCTCTGCTGTCTCTCCGAATTTCTTCAGAGAGTTTTGCTTTATTTGTCCCATGAGATGAGGATCGATAATTTGCTCGAGTATGCCCTTCTTCTGCCATTGCATTGCCCACTCTGCTAAATTCACCTGCTCCCTGGCAAGCAATGGATCAACAGCGGGCCTAGCGCAAAGAACTTCAAGAAGCACAACTCCAAATGAATAAACATCTGATTTATCAGTAAGCTGCTGTCTTCGGAAGTACTCTGGATCAAGATATCCAAAGCTGCCTTTTACACCAGTACTTACATGAGTCTCGTCCAGACATGGGCCAGATCGTGAAAGACCGAAATCAGCAACCTTGGCCACGTAATTTTCATCAAGCAAAATATTCGTAGATTTGATGTCACGATGGATAATGCCTTGGGCAGAACCTGTATGCAGGTAGTGAAGACCTCTCGCTGCACCAATGCAAATCTCAAGCCTTTGCTTCCAAGAAAGATGAGAACACCCTGGGCCATACAAATGCTTCTTCAATGGCCCCTTTTCCATGTACTCATAAACAAGGATCATTTCTGCCTGTTCTTCACAATACCCAACGAGGGAAACGAGATGGCGGTGGCGTATCTTAGACAAAACTGTTATTTCAGTTTGGAATTCTGGGAGTCCTTGCCTGGATCCTGGCACACCCCTCTTTACAGCAACCTTGGTGTTGTCTTTAAGAACCCCTTTGAAAACCATACCAAATCCACCAGAACCAATTATCAGACTGTTATCAAAATTGTTGGTTGCCAACTGTACATCGGCAAAGGGGATCTTCAAGCTTCGATATTCATTGACAGTCACTTCAGACATTCTACTATGCGTGCTACCTCCATATACACGTAAGGGTGTCCAACCTGCACTTTCTACTCGCGTTGGTTTCGGCTTCTTCTTCTTGCATTTACATGCTAGTATAACTACAAAGACAGCCAAACATAGAACAAAGCCTCCTATACTTGAAGCCGCCACAATCCAAACCGTTCTCTTCTTGGATTCATTACGCAAATGAGAAGGATTTACCATCTTCATGATCTCCACCCCATTCAAAATGGCGTTGACCTTCATAAGACTACTAACAGCCGAAGGTCCAATACTCACTTGCACAGCCCCCAGATCATTAGAATCCACAATAAAGTCAAAGTACATTGGTGATGAAAGTACATGGAATGTAAGGGATGACAAATCAAGATCATTGTAGGCAGAGTAACCGTTTAGGTACACATCAAAGTACAACTGATTCAGTGAAGTACTAACAATATCACAGAAATGTAATCGAACCAAGTGCCGAACCCCACCAGAACCCACAGGAAAATTCCATGTGATATTAAATCTTGACTGCAATGGGTTATTATCCTTGTTCATCTGCTGTGCAGTCATATATACATTTTCGGGTGCAATCTCCCTACTAGCACCGCCACTCTGATAATTAGGAACATGAGTGGTGACTGCGCGTTTAGCAGCAGATTTCAAAACAAGAAAATCGTCATCAGGAATCCAGGTTCTCCACAAAGTATCATTGAAAGGCACCAATTTTGAACCACCAACATTAATCCTATGAATTGTCTCTAAAACGTGTGAAGAAAGATTCTTGTACACTTCAATTCCATTTGCACTAACCAATTTAGCTCCCTCATCAAGAATAAAATCCTTAGGAGCTGAAAACACTTCAATTGCATTCACAAATCCAAAACTTGATTTACAAACAGGACTAAACAAAATTTCAAGAGCATTACTATCAACTCTAAATACGTACTCTTTAAGCACAACAACTTTGGTACTAAAATCACTCAATAGCAAATTCCCATTTACTAAAATACTAAACTTTGCAGTTGATAAATCAAAGCCTTGAGCTTTAAATGGAGAGAAATGAAATCGTACCAAGTGAGTCCCATTTCTCTTAATATTGAACTGGTAGCTTGAAGCAGTAGTGAAAACTCTAGCTGTGCTGTACAAAGTCGGTGAGTTTGGAGATGGGTTTTGGTTCTTGAGTGAAATGGACTGGCCTTTTGAGAGAGAGACTGGACCTTGTTTAGTGGAATCAGACACAAAGATTCTGCTATCTGTAGAAGTGAAGGAGGTGTTGGTGTTTGAGCCACAATTGACGAGTAAGTTGTCAGTGGGACTGAAAGAGGTGGAGAAACAGATGAGAGAAAGCAGTGCTAGGGAGAGAAGAAGAAGGGTGTTGGCTTCCATTGAAGGAGGTTTCCTGGGGTTCATCAAGAGAGAGGAAAAAAATAAAGAAAGAGACATTCTAGGATTTGGAGACTGAAGAGTACATAATGGTGAACTGTAGAAGATAGATTTGCCTGTGTAAGAACAGAGTCCCCAAAAACTTGACTTTAAGGATTGCTGTCATCCTACTGTTTATTTTGTCATGTCCAAGGCAACATGTACATGTGAACTTTGACATATACATCGGCAGGGGCGGAACCAGGGGAGGGCAAGCAGGGGCCCGGGCCCCTGCAAAACATTTTAATTTTTTAATATTTTTTAATTTAAATAAATAAGTTTTTTAATAATATATATTATTATATTAATTTTGGCCTCCCCTGTAAAATATGCCTGGCTCCGCCCCTGTACATCGGCATGCCATATGTGAATGGTTGAGATTAGGCATCAGCTGTGTCCCAAGTAGATGTTTGACATTTGAGAACCCAATCTTCGACATGAAGGTGCACCCTCAATGATTATTTTGGCAGTAGTTTTTGATCTTTTTTCAGGGATGCAAAATGCTGTTTTGGCATTTGCAAAAAGTAGGTCAAGTCTTGAGTTGGGGGGTTTCCATCATGGAAAGGTATGAATAATCGAGCACGGGTTATTAGTGTAATAGTGTTGGTTTTTTTTTGTTTTAAAAGTGATTTAAAAAAATTAATTAAATTTTTATATTTTTAGAATATTTTTAATGTGTTAATATTAAAAATAATTTTAAAAAAATAAAAAAAATATTATTTTAATACATTTTAAAAATATTTAAAAAAAAACTTCTATTATATTTTTAAACATCAGTATTGAAGTTTGTTGTATTAATAAGAAATGATTTATATTAACTTCAAGAGATGTAATTCAACTAATCAAATTTTGGATTTGTTCTTCAGAGATTATCGGTTTGAATTTTATAAATTTCAGAGTCATTAAAAATTTATATAATCATTAACTTTAAAACATATAGAATTAGTCGAGATATATACAAATTAGTCCAAACATTAATGTTAATATAATAAAAAGAAAATAATGCACATTCAAACAAAAAAAATAAAAAATATTTTAATATCTAATCTTAGAGTTCTTAACTTTATCATTTCTTTTAAAATATTTTTGACATAGAACCAGTTTATTTTATATTAGGTTTGGTCATGAGTGACTTCTTAGATTACTTAGATTTACTGACTTAATTTTTTATATATTTTAAATTGGGGATTATCTATGTGGAATAAACATGGTTTCATTTATTGAATTGGTTTGGGAAATCAATGAGCAAGTTTGGGGTAGTTGCCCTAGCTTTCACAAAGTGGATGACAGAAATCATCAATCCATTTGGAATTCCTATCATTATAGAAATCCCATAATCTCAAAACTAAGGAATGAGTTGACAGATTGAATTTTCTTTCACCTCAGCTAAATCCCGAGTTACCTTGCTGAGTTGAACCACGCACGCAAGCCATAGATTTAAGCTGGGGCAGAAAGGGTTAAAAAAGAAAAGAAGACTGAAACGTCTTCGAGTCAACTCACCGTTCGTGTCCAAAACACGCCTTGACAAAAGGGATGCCAGGGAATCAAGTGTGTTTATTGTCTTGATAGTTGTGGCCTCTCTGGATGCTCCTAAAGCATGTGGGTGTGGTAGCATCCTTGTGGATTGAATTTGCTTTGCTTGGTGGCTGTCATTTTCATGGTGCATTATACGAATGAGCTGTGATCTTACATCATGATACCATGAATTTACCTCTGTTAATCACAGTTGCCTGAATACATATGAAATTAATTAATTTTATTTTAAAAAATATATTTTAATTTTTTTCATTAATCAACTTGATTCATGACTGGAGCTTGTGTCGTTGTCGTCGAGTTGATTTATGAGAAAAAATTTAGTTATTTATGTTTAAAAATCATGATTGGATATTTAGAAATGCTGGAAGAGCTGATGAAATGTATTATTGATTAATGAATTAGCAATGGAAGAATGATCCAATTAATTTCTTTATAAATAATATAATATTATTTATTTGTTTTTATTTCAATCAGTATTGTTATTTGTTTTAAATGTATATATTAAAATGAGTTACTAACCAGTATCTCAACATGTCCAGTTTGTCCTTGTTCTCGTAGTCTAGATGCTTTGCATTTTTCTATGAGTATTTATAATATTAAATCATATTAATTATGGGTAATCTTTATTTTTAGTGTCTTTTAAAAATATATATTTTTTGAAAAAAATATCAAATTAATATATTCTTTAATTTTTTGATAATTTTATTAAATCAATTTTAAAAATGTATTTGTCTTGAAAAATATTAGAAATCTTGTTTTTATGGTATTTGTGGAGAAGAGAAGAAGAAGGTTTTAATTTAGTTAATTAAATTTTTTGTAATATATTTGAAAATAAATAAAATACCCAAATGTTAAAAAAAAAGATTAAGGAAAAAAATGCAGGAATTATCTGAAAAATTTTTAGAAACAAAAATATTTAAGCTAAAAAATAGAGTGTAATAACACACACACACACAAAAATTTGAAAAAAATAGCTGAAAACAGATATTATTTGTATATTGAGTATAAGAATTAAATTCTAAAAATAATTAAATTTTTAAAAATTATTCAAAAATAAAATAGAAGTTAACCACACACACTGATTTACAATTTTAATAAGAAAAAAATTAATGTTAAAATTAATTTTTCTAAAATATCTATCTACCTCTGTTTTTTTAAAAGACATTTAGAAAAATAAAATAAATATGATGCTGGTAATATATAAAACAAAATAAATTGAATTTCATCTCTTCTAAACTTCTAAATTTAACTTATTTATCAATTAAATTTAAACTAAACACTATAATCATATTTAATTATAATAAAGAAATGATTCTAAATATTAGTATTTACCAAAGCATAATGTAATTTAAAATTCTAAACTGTTATATTATATACATGCCACTTTATAAAATAATTTTATATTATACAATTTAAATTAAAGTCTTGTAAGGCTAGGAATTATTTGTAGCCAATTGATTTTAACTTTGACTAAATATATAACGATTACGTGTAAAGAATGAGTTTTTATCACTTAGCAACCTCCTAAGGAGGATATCCCACACCTCATATCCTTTAGATTTTCTTCAATTTACCAGATAGTTGACCGACATATTATGTTTGTCCTATATACCATTTTAAAAATGGGTACCATATTTGCCATCAATTATCTTTATAGTATTGACAATTGGGTGTCTCTCAATCAATTATGTTTAAATAATAGTCAAAGAAACCCGATTTTAGAGCTCACTCGTTCAACCTAGACTTACAAAAAAATCATAAAAAGGATGCTATTTAATTTATTTATTTAGTTTTTTCATTGGCATAATATGATCGAAGTTTCATGTTGGCAGATCAACGTGTTAAGTTAGACCAAATTTTTTAGGTATGGTTTAAACTCTTATGGGTGTTACATTGCTACATTAATAGTCAAAACTCCAAAGCAGCTTTAACATTTAAATCATTTATGGCATGAACTTGTCCTTTTGTTTTTGGTTTGCAAGTTAAAAGGTGTTCTCAAGTCACCATTGATGCAGCATGCAGAGGGACAGCAAGGTTTGTTAAAATAGCAAAATTAATCCATTCAAAGACAAACACCGCTTTATTGGATCAGGGAAGCAAAATCTCAGTTTTTACTCATAATTTTCATCATCCAAAGAGAATGTTCATGACAATATAAATATAAAAAGAGTTAAATTGGTATCCAAATATGGATTCGAATGCGAGGTGCTCTCGTGGAGTATTATTTCTCAAATTTTCATGTACATCTTTGGATAATATACGAACATGAATATTTTAACAGATCTTTTTTTTTATTAAATTACTTAATTATGAAATATTTCTCAAGCTGGTCTCATTTTTTATTCATTTTAATTAAAAGGGTTTAATTAGATCGGTTTAGCTTATCTCTCAACTCAGATAGTACTTGATTTTCACTGATCTAAAAAAATTATATTGAAAAACCCTAGTTTGGGCTGTGCCCAACTTGCAATTATTAATGGAAAACTAGCAATCTTAAGGCTAGTCAAATAATTAATGAGATCTATTCTCCTTTTGTTATTATCTATTTTTGTACCCCCATATTAATAAAAAAAATTAAAAAAGAAAAAAAATACAAATTAATGGTTTAATGGTGTCGTTGGAAATAAAGTAGTTGGAGAGTATTAACTGCAGGAGAGATCATGTAAATGTTGAGCAAGGAGGCTGGTTTGCTTCGGATGGTGGCCTTTCTTTTCGTTGCCATTAGTGCTTCTGCTATGCGGCCATTTCCACTCCCAGACCCCATAAGTGTAATCCCTACGAAGAAACACGTAGTTTAATGCTAGAAAAGTCCACTTCCTGTTAAAGCTATTGAGAAAAAACTTCAAGCATGTATTGACTCGGTTATTCAGCCCATGAAGCCTCTTAAGCCCACTATACAATCCTTAAAATCTTGGCCATCTTGGCATATGATCTCGAGTTGTTGTTCTATTTGGAATATCTATTCTAATCATGCCATAAATCCTCCTATCAAAAAGAAATCTTCGGACTTCAATAGGACAATATCAACAATTATCTCCGATGCTTTACGATATGCAACAGGGAATGGAGAGCAGGTCTCTCTTTGTACATTGGTGGGCTCTTTGTCTTTAAAGAATCAATTTCCAATCTTGTTTGCAGTTGCTGCGTTCAAGGACTCAAGAATTCCAGAATGGGGATATTGGAATGGGAACATTTGGAACTGATACAATAGTTAAAATCTTTTAAATTGGACAAAGACAAACATTCGCATCTTGAAATATTGATTTATAAAGATAAAAAAATTAGACAAGACAAACACCCTGTCATAGACGGCGAAATCTTTTTATTTATTTATTTATCTTATGATAATTTGATTTAATATTATGTACAACAAATAAAAACGGTTAGTAGTTTTCAGTATCTCACTATCATTTTTGATTCATGTCCCTCGTCTGTAATTTTAAAATGTATTTATGGGGCCAGATGGGGTTTTGACAAGTTGATGGGGATCAAGGAAGACGTTTGAAAAATGAGTATAACAGAGCAAGTAGGCTGTGGATGAAGCAAGGAGAAGGCAGCAGAGGGACGACAGGAACTAGTGTCCTGGTGGAAAAGCAGTGTCCAGAAGGAGGAGCTTCCATGTTACGGCAGGATCGAA